CCACAAGGTCAATTCTGAAACAAAAATTGTGCCTGTAGAAACTATGGTAAGAGTATTTACCTGTTGGCTCATTACTTAATTTGTGTGCATTGAATGTAGGTGTGGTAGACAGACAGACAGAGATAGAATGAGTTGAAATTTCAATATGTATGAGCAATTCATATCATGGTTTCCATGTGTTTACATAATATATTCAATTTGTTTAAAAACTTGGACAGCTTAAAATAAATTGGCATCCTAATTCCACTTACTTGGAAGTTCTCACTGATTGCCATATTAACAGCACTTTATACTTTTAATAACCTTCAATCATATTTAAGTTTCACCCTGACTTATGTAGTTTCATACATTTCATTTGTGTATGAAGTGTAAATCTAAGAGACTGAATTCCATGATTCAAAATTCATGTTCTCTTTTTCTTTGTCTGATTTAAAATAAATGTGATGAGCTTTCAGCCAATTCCCTTGAGCAGACTTCCCCTTAATTTGATAAAACACTTTATCAGAATATAGTCAGAGAGCTAACATTCAGTAGAGTTATCTAAAATGAAATCTTTGCACATTTGATTTGGCATTAATAACTTGCAACCGAATTGTGCTTCAGGACTAGTCCTGTGTATTTCTGAGTGTCTACATTTGTTCAGTGCAACGTACAGGCTGATATAATATAATCCTAATGAGTCTATATCCATTTGTACTGCAATTATAATTAATTTGCTAATTTTTTACAATAATATTACAAAAGTTTTAAGACCCATTTTTTAAAAAACTTGCAGTTATATGAATCAAAAATTGCCAGTAGGAATATCATCAAATTTTTAGATAGCCTGAGCAAAAAGTGTAAATACAAAATATTCTGCAATATATTTGTTATTGGAATATTCATTTTCTGAAATGTTATACAATATTTTGAATTTTTTTCTCTGGACACATTTTCGATTACAGCAATAAAATAATGAAATAAAAGCAACTATTAATTATTATAATTAATTATAAAAAAAAACCCCTTTCTTGACTCACCATAGTTCTAATTTGTAGGAATGCACTATTTACTGTAATTTAGCCATATCAAAGTAATCATTAATTATAGTTATTTACATGTTTTCAGAAAAAAAGCTTTGTTCAATTTGGTGGGCAATGGATAAAGTGAAATATGTATAGGATTGCAACCTAATAAGTGTCCATCTTCTTGAATATTTTCTTCTTACTATATTATATTGGTTTGATCATTCTTCCCAAATAGTGAGAAAGATTATGGAAATGTATAAAACAGCTATATAATAAGGACTTTAGCATACATTAGAAAGTGCAGTTGGACAAAAGAAACAGAGATCTTAATTTAATATCTGTGGGAGTCAAGTAATTAAAGTATATTTGAGGATACTCATCTCTTGAAAGCAGTAAGTGAAGAACTCCCTGTACACTTCATAACAAAAACCTTGAGAAGTCTAACATACTAGAAAATTATTAGGAACAATTTTATCAACAATAAGTTTGAAAAGTCTTTGTGTTAGAACAGAATAGAATCATTTTCAAACAACTGTTTTCCTACTGTCACAAATACTGAATGCACTGATTATAAGGCAGTTCTGCAGAGTCTTAGAATAACCAGTACTGTAATAACAAAAGTGATGCACTGCACCTGGCAATTAATTTAGTAATGTTTTGATTCTGTGATTATTCACTGATGATGATAGCTGGGGATTCACAATAATGCTTAGCAGAATTCTGCTCATGCCAAAAGAACTGTTCTTCATGATTCTTTCTTTCCTGAAAAGCTACTCTGAAGGGATTAAATTTCTTGTTCTGAAAGTTCTGTCCTGTTCATTGCCATTCCTTTTTATTGCCAACATTGTCTTGCGAAATGATATATATATATATATCTTTTACACACACACACATACATACACACACTTATCTTTTATACACACACAAACACATATAGATATGATATATATATATATGTCATATTATATAAATAATATACTGAATATATATATGTTCAGTACTGTAATTGTACTGAACTTTTCCATTGAATATTTAATCCTATTCCAGTTTTTCTTTTTCTTTCATATTTCTTTGTTATTTTAGTGCAGCTCTACTTTTTAAAAAGTTTATTTAATCTTATTTGTTGAAAACTATTTAACATTTTCCATGGCTTATCTTCTTTATCCTTGTTGGGTTCAATATATGTATAGGCATTTGTAATGTTATCAGTGAAATGATGACATAATACTAAAGCAAGAACACATTCACAACGCTCTTTAAAGATCTTTGGAAATACATCAAAAACTGTGAGTCAACTTGCATTCATAAGCAGTACCATTATAAATAAAAAATGAGGTTCATTACTTATAATCCACTTGCAAAGTCTTATTGCTGGAGATAGATTGTCTGTAAAGGCATAGCTGCAATCTACAAAAGGGAGAGACTTTTCTGGGAAATACATGCTAACAAGCTTTGTTCATGTAGCATCCCTTAACATTTGACAACGATGGGCATTATTGTTAGAATTAAACATGCTTTTGATGAAGCAGACTCTAGTCCATAAAAGCATGTACCTAATAAATGTCTTAATCTTTAAGGTGACCCAGAACTCTTCATTGTTTTTAATTAATGGTTTTCATTCTTTAAAAACCACAAAGAATCTTGTAGCATCTTGACAATGAACAATTTATTATTGCATCACCTTTTTTGCTGAATCAGATACAGGCTTATGGCTGTGAACATGTGTAGTTTCTTTTGGCTAAACTGAATGCCTGTCTGACATTGGGCCTCCTACTTAAAATTGCATTCCACTTTGCTAATTTCAAATATATAAATACATGGTTTATTGAAAATGTATTTTTATTCATCCAACATGATTTAAATATACAATGAAACAATACAGTAAAATGTCAAGAACCTAATTGTAGTTTCAGAATGTTTCTACTTACAAACTCATTACATAAATCAATATGTTGTTTCTATTTTAAAAAAATAATTTCCTGGCACAAACTGTTTTCACAGATTCACATTTCATGATGCTAGTTACATTTTCTGTCCTTGCTAATTTGAATACTGTGTTAGAGACTGTTTTGATGTCAAGTAATTCTCCATCTGACACAGTTTGTAACTATAGCTCTCCATTTTTAAAATGCTCCAAGTTAGATTAATATTTTTGTCCTGACTACTTCTCCACTTGGTTACTTATACATGCATATATACCCTACACACATACACAGACACACACACACACAGACAACTATGAAACTGGGGGATGTGAGCTATTTTTATGGGACAAAAAATTGAATACTTGTGTCTTGGTGGCCAAAATTATTCTACTAGCTCTGAGTAGCGTACGTGTTGCTTGACTGTGATCTGTAGATGGGATTGTCGCTCTGCAGCGGACAGCATCTTATCTTGCTTGGTGGCTCATCAGAGACTTTCATAAACTTTTTGTTTGTTTAAAAGAAAGAAAAAAGAAAAGAAAGTGGGGACTGTCATAGATCTCAGTATACAGATGGTTTACAGGGCACGGCTTAGTACAATTCAAGTTACATATGTCTTCTGTGGCATGTAACCAAGGATCTGAAACATGCTGGGAAGATATGAATACAGCTTTCATGCAGAAATGTCAGGTTCCATCCTTGCCATTATTTTTAATTATAAAAAGCGAAAGCATCTAGTTACTTAAAAAGAGTGCAGGTTTCTGAGTTTCAGAGCATTTATTTCATTGGACTGTAAAACGGAAAGCTTGCACGGAATTCTTAACCTTTAGTTGATCTAAAAGTATAATTTAAATATTTTCAGGGCTCTTACTGCCCAGATCAAAACCAGCCAGAACTTGGGGTCTGAAACTCACCAACCCCACATCCAGGTCCCCAGCAGGAGCTTCATTTACCTGCAGTTTTGGCTACCTGCCCTTACAAAACAAAACAAAAGGAATGGAAAGGACTGCCAGACCTCGGCCAGATCACAATACCTACCTAACGGGCTGCAATTGGTGGCTTCTGCAGAACCGGAGCAGGCAGCCTTAAACCAGGCAGCTGATCGGAGCCAGCGTAAGTCAGCTTCACACTTTCATGTCCTTCACTCATCTGTATTCCGCGGACACGAAGGAGCCATTGATCTTGAAGGTTTCGAAAGAAAAGGGAGCCTTTTCAATGCCTACGGTGCATGTGGCAGCTGGGGATCTCAGCCTCTTCCAAATGCCCCTCAGCGTATGCCCTTTAACTTAAGGGAATCGTCCGTGTGCGCCTGTGTGCGCGCGCGCGCGTCTGCGAGCCGGAGGGAGGGCATTTCAGCACACAAATGCTTCGAGGAAAGGGAACAGACGCGATTGCCACCTCCCCCTGCCAAACCTTTCCTTTCTTTCTCCCCCCCTCCACCGGCCGTATTCTCTCCCTCCAATACCCCCCTTCCGCCTTCCAATGGGCTATTGGACGTGCCCAAACCCCGCACCTCCTGCGTCTCGTGTCGGTGTCGTCTCGACAGTGGTAGCGCGTAGGAACACGTTCCAAAGCAGGAGCAGCGCCAGCAGCGGCGGCGGCGGCGGCGG